AAGTTGATGCGCGAGCCTCAACCACAAGCATCCTCCATGGTCACTTCTCCCAAGAGATCGCCTGCACGGATCTTATTCGAATGATTGATGGAATGTCTGTCATAAGCATAAAGGTCAAGTCTTGTCACTAGCATGGAGGCCCTGCACAAGCAATAAATGCGCCGTAAGCTAGCAAGTCAAATCCCATGCCTAAGAACAGACGTTTAAACCAAGGAGATAAGGCCACGTGCCACTTCATCCAAGGGCTCCCATTCCATATGTATAACTATAAATACCCCCGTTGTATAATGTCAAAGGGCGAATGCAAGAATCAATACTAAAAACTACATTTTACTCAACTCTCTCCCATTTACTAGCAATACACAAATCGAGTTTATACATTTTTTGCGTATACATCTACGAGCACCGGTTGGTAATTATTGTACAATCGGATTACGAACAATCCGTCGGATCCCGAACGTTACCGTCCCGCGTCGTTGGGCTACTCCCACGCCCCTTTGAACCGCTCATTTAGACCGTCCACGTGTCTTAGCGTGTTGGACATTCGTCCACGCAAGCGCGGGTGAGATCGGCATCTGTTGGCACACTTTTTGGGGTCAACAATTATCATTCTCAACATTTCGTGTAAACGTAATTTGAAAATAAAATGTCTGAGTAAATGTTTTTGTCATTCACTGATTCACACTTTTAGAACAATATGATCATATATTGAACTAACAACTCAAGGGGAAAAAGAAAATATATCCTTGCACGAGAACATAGAAAGGAATCAAACAAAATCAACTAATAAAGACAATGAGAATAAATTCTCATGGATCACCGTGAAAGACCTACTTCTAGGAAGTACTACAGTGCGAGGTTTGTGAGCATGTCATAGAACAAAACAGAATAAAAAAATAATGCCAAATGAACTAAATAAAATATAATATAATTTTAGTTTAATTTTTAAAAAGGGCCTTTCTGTATTTCGAAGTATAATTAGAGAATGTAATTTGCATATAAGAGAAAAATTCATAACTAAGAAGTTAGGTATCACCTATTTCAAAATTAAGAACAAATGTTTCCAATATCAAATTTCAAAAATCAAATATTTATTAAATTTTATTAATTAATTAATTAATTAATTATATATTATATTAATTAAATATATTAAGGTCACAGATTTATACAATTTGGTTACAAATTAATGTTTAATTGGTAATGTATTATTTTTTGATCACAAATCAGAAATTTTATATGTTACAAATTATTTTACGATCACAATTCAAAAATTTTATAGGTCATAATTTGTTCATCAGTCACAAATCAAAAATTTGTAAGTCACAATTTATTTATCAATCACAAATATTATAAGTATACAGTCACAAATTATCAAATTATCGGTCATACATTAACAATTTTTTAGGTCACACATTATTCATTGGTTACAATTTATCTTTTTCATTGATTACATATTATTCATTGATCACGGATTAACCAAAATAATAGTCATAATCAACCAAATAATTTGTGACCACAAACAACACTTGCAACCACCATCTCATTACTGCTTCTAGTACTACCACCACCGTCGTCGCTACAACCACCATCACCTCTCGACAACAACACCACCACCACCCAACAACCCACAGTACTGTAATCTTCACGTCCCCAAACCTACCATCACCATTGTCATCACCACCACCCCAGCCGTCGTAGTTGATCCACATCTATGGCCATTGTCACCACCATCTCACCATCACAGTTCACAAAAAATCACAACTAGCACCTCTTCTATCTCCATCTTCACAACACCATCCTTATCAAAAATCTCCAAATCGCCGCTACAACGGTTCTGCTGCTTCAGAGTGATGCTTTTCCGTGGTGGTGTCCGGTCGTCTGTAGCAGTGTGTCGAACCTGCTGCGCATTGCCCAAACTAGTAGCGATCGCGGGAGCCGGAGCCGCGTTTCTTCTACATCTTGATTCCAAAGCCACTGGGGAGGGGGAGAGAGAGAGAGGCTGCCGGACCCTGCTGTGCACTGTCCCAAACTAGTAGTGATTTGTGTTTTTGGATTTTTTAGGGTTTTGGTGGTGATAATTTAGAGAGAGATGATAGAGGAAATAGAAATTGAATATTATTAATATTAAATATTTGAATTAATCTGATTTCTGTATAAACAAACTTTATATATGATTTTTCAAGTTGAATCTTTAAAATTTTGGTTGGGTATAATTTCCACTTACGTAAATGATTTCAAACTTTTGCCCTTATTGTGTCTTTAGTCTAAACATTTCAAATATAGAGCAATGACCCAAATCATCGCATTTTTTTACTTTTTATTTTTTTGCTCAAATTAGTCTAGTGGTTTACGTCCAAAAGGATCGTTAATTTTGTGCTGACATGCGAGTCTCCTTATTTTAATTTTATTTGAAGGGAAAATAGGATGAAAGTTTCGAAAGTAGTTAACTTTTCAGTTGGTCAAGTTGACTATGCAATATATATTAATATATAATGAGCCAAAATGGTGAATGGCTCTTTTTGGCTCAATGGAGAAGATGAATGGCTCATTTTAAATTGACTCATTATAAATTAACTACCAATTTAATATGTTTTTCTAAATTTTTCCAGTGACACAAGATGACAACAACAGTAGTTGTGGAATTGTGAAATATAATGTGTTCACGATATTTTTTCTTTATTTTACTTAATCATTTAAAGTATTTTCAGATTCATGTTGCTGCTACTGTTACTTATGGACTAAGTTGATGGCGGGAAAAAGGGGTGAAGTGGGTGAGGACAATTTTACCCTTGTTTATGGAAAGAAAAAGGTATTTTTGTATTTAATTAACGGAAAAACTGACGGAATATGGACGGAAGGACGTCCAGCGCAAAGAAAAGTTGAAAT